GTTCCGGGGCATACTTTTTGTAACACTACCGCTGATTTTCCGAGCAGCAAGAAGGGGAAAAAACATACTGCGTGTTGAGCTCAAGTTATTGCAAAACACATAGGGATACACTCTGTGAACAATCCATAACAATAGTGTACGAGTGTGTTGAAGTGCTTGGCATGAAGCGTACAAATTCCGGCGTGTTGTTTGCTTCCTTGGCAAGTGTGCCATTTTACAAGGTTCACGTAATCCGCATTCAGAATTTGGTGATGACTCTAGCTGTCTTTCTGCGTAGGCTACATGTCAACATTCGAGAAGCCACGAATTGCCCCAAGACCTAGAATTTTAGACTGGCTACCCACGGCGCAATGTCTTTTTCATTTCCCGAGATTGACATTGCTTAGAATAGAAGACTTTACACTGCGCGTTAGATTTCGCCGCTGTCCCCCACGGCTCGTGCTATAGGGTATGGGAACAGTGCTCTGGCTCAGCTTCCAACCACCATCGTGGGTGACCAGCGCTGGGTTTACCATCAGATATCGGCTGGTGATTTCCCCGGGATGACTCATGAGCAACCCATTTTCACCTTCTCATGAGCAGCACACATACTGGGGAACAATTCATCGCTCGGAATGTTTCACTACCCTTTGGGTGGCGGGCCGAGCGTGGTTCGTCTGTGTGTAAGCTTCTCAAGATGGATTAAGAAACCGATTTCGCAACAAATAACAAGGCGGAGTGGCCGAGTGGTTATGGCGATTGACTAGAAATCAATTGGGTTCGCCCGCGCAGGTTCGAGTCCTGTCTCCGTCGATTTCTTTTTGTTGTTGTGTTATTTTTCCATCGTGTTATATTTTTTGGTGGTGTTTTCGGCTGCGCCATTTGATGGGTTGCCAAAACGGGCTGCAGCCCCGAGTGGGCGGCCCGACCCACTATTTACCCAGCCGGGCGGGAGACCCCACTCAGAAGCTTGGTGCTGGACCCCACTTGAGCGTCATACTCAGCAGACAGAGAGAGGGTCAATTGGCAACTTGGCAACGATGGGAGATGGCACGATTTGGATCGTTGCTAGTTGGCTTTCGCCCTCATGGCGACTAGGGATGAACCACAAATTTGGGTCTGGCGCCGCAAATTCCGAAGCCATCGGACGACTCTGAAACCCATGTCTGCTGCTGTGGCCCAAGGCTGGAAACCGTTGACTATTGTCTTGGCTGCACTTGTTGCTCTTGTTGCCGACTCGCGTGACGGGAGTGACTTTTTGCTGGGAGGAGCTCTTGGAAGTCAACGGCCAAAAAGTGGGCATGTTGCTTTGGGCGTTTATGGTGCTGCTACGCGCGCGCGTCGTCGTTTCGTGACCGCCTGTAGCCATCACCAACTTTCACCGCAAATGTGCCGTGACGGATCATCCCAATTAAGCTCTATCCAGGGCCTTTGCTGTCGGGGTGAAAAATAATCAAGGTCAACTAGTACTACTACTAGTCTGTTTCGACCCCCGCGTTTCACATCCTCCGCGTTGCCCGATTGGACAACAAAACTACTCCGTATGGTATGGACTACGGAGTACGGAGTACTACATTGCTCCAACGCCATCGCGAAATAGATTATTGCGTTCTTTGACAGGCTGCTCTTTTGCTGCAATGCGCATAACAGCATGTCGATATTTTGTCGACGCGGTCGCCTCTGATGATGAGCGGCAACAGACACCGGCCAATGCACATGTGCCGTCACTCATGCTTTATGAAACCAAGTCAATCTCAATCAATGGAAATAACCGCGGGCCTTTGCACCGAGACATGGCCACGTTTTTCAAGTCTCTCTCGACGACCAGATTGAGCGTCGTGCACGAACTGCGCAAGGGGGAGCGCTCACACGGCCCGGGATCGACGCCACCAAAGCAAACGGCCCTGCCAAAACGCAAGCTTTTTCCATCCTGGTCATAATCAGTGACCTTTAACAAGCTCGCAAACCCAACCGAATCCGAACAAGACGAACCAGCAAAGAGCCTGTCGCATTGGCCGCCGTAGCGCCTTGTGGGCAACATGGAGGCTAATGACTCTGCGGGGGTTGGCGCCTCCCGAGATGGTTCAAAAAGGGCATGACAAGTCGACATGGACATTCATTTCCGCCAGTGGACAAATGTAAATTCTCAACTGCATACCGTCTTTTTCACTGATACGAATCTCTGGGGGAAAGTTGTTGCCCCTGTCGAACCGGAATGCCTCCCAGTGCCTGACGTCCGCTTTGTTGTGTTGGCCCCAACACCGAGTGAGACACTGTGAAATAACCGCCTCGCCTCAAAAAAACAGATTGCCTCCTCTTGTTTCTCTACAGACATGAATGTAACGATGGAGTGCGAGCTGGACCGAATCGACATGATGCATTCGGGAATACAATTCTCGTATGATGACATTGCGTTTGCGCCGGCATCCACCGCGCACGGGACCTACTACGACGGCGAGCAGGACGAGGTAGAGAACCTGGACGAGTACCAAGAAGGCGGCCATCACCCGGTACACATACACGACCGCCTGGGCACGCAGAGATACCGCGTCATTCACAAACTCGGCCACGGCGCGTACGGCACCGTGTGGCTGTGTCGAGACCACCAGCTCCACCGCTACGTTGCCGTCAAGGTCATGACGGCGGATGTGTCGCTGGATCGGGTGCCCGAGATGTCCATCCTGAAGCGTCTCGACCAGACGAACCCCGGGGCGCGGCACATTGCCCTGCCGCTGGACAGCTTCGCGGTCTACGGGCCCAACGGCACGCACCAGTGCATCGTCTTCCCGCTGCTGGGCCAGTGTGTCTCTCCCGTCCTGTGGCAGCGACTCGAGCACCCGGGTCTGGTTCTCAGAAACCTGTGCCACCAGGCGGTGCTGGCGTTGAACTGCCTGCACGAAAGCGGCGTCGGCCACGGAGGTGAGACCCTGACTGTCTTGACAAAAAGACAGAAAGAAAAAAAAGAGGTTGTATAAGCTAACAACACGACCAGATTTCCGGCCGTCCAACATCCTGCTCAAAGTTTCGGGGCTAGACGGCCTGAGCGAGGACGAGCTTCTCTCGCAAATAGGATACCCAGAGCCGGGCAACGTCGTCGCCGACCACGGCGGGCCGCTGCCGCCCTTTTCTCCGCGGTACCTCGTCCCGGCGGCCGACATGTCGCGCCTCGACTCCAAGTACCTGCGGGAGGAGGTGTGCCTGATCCGCCTCGGGCAGCTGTACCTCGAGTCCTCGCCGCCGCCGGACCTGGGCACGCCGGAGAACTACCTGCCGCCGGAGCGGCTGGTGGACGACCAAAAGGACCGGGTAGGGCTCAGCTGCGACATTTGGGCGCTGGGCTGCACCCTGTTCGAGATCCGGCTGCAGACGCCGCTGTTCCACATGCTGTACGGGCCGGACGAGGTGCTCGACGAAATGGTCAGCTTCTTCGGGAAGCTGCCGGAGCCGTGGTGGTCGCGGTGGGAGCAGCACGGCGACTACCGCGACGAGGAGGGCAACATGCTGCGCAGGAGGGTCGACGTGGACGGCGAGCCGTACGGCATCGACAGCGTGCTGCGGGGGGACAAGTCCAGCATGAGGACCGTCGACGGCGTCTTAAGGGTCGTCAAGACGATGGAGGTGCCGAGGGACGAAGTGGCCGCGCTGAAGGCGCTCCTGCTGGGGATTTGCGCGTATGCGCCCGAGAACCGCCTCTGCACGGGGGACATTTTGCGCGCCGAGTGGTTCAAGAGGTGCAGCTGGTCGTGAGGCTGGCGTGGCCGTGGCCGTGACCGACCCCGTGCTCGCCTGTGAAGGGGTATATATACGTATCCTGGGCTTTGTTGTCCTTCTAAAGCGATGCTCCTGCGCTGGACAGTCTTGTCATTAATATGATGGCCAAAGCTGCCGAGTGGTGGCTGCTGCATGTATATAAAACGATTGAGCTGGCAACTTCTGCAAGCTGCGTCGTGGCGCAGGACCACCGACCTGTCAACTGTTCTTCATTCACCCGTCGACACGACCTTTGCGTTGGGAGTTTTTGCGGATATTTCCTCGCTGTCCTTTACGTGGACAAATTGTGGTCAGAGTACATAGACGAATGAGGAAACTTACAGTATTGCTCCTTCCCTCGGATGGTTTTTGCAAACCTTTGGATCCTTCTAGATGTTCAGTGCGGGGCGGGCCGAGTTCTATATTTAGTGCGCGCTGATCTCGTCGGCACTTGAGTGCCAGACCTGTTGGCATCCCTGTGGAGAAGGGCACATGGGTTGCGGCATGATGCTCGATGGTATGATTGAATCTTGCGTTGAAGCTTGAAGGGATGTTCTGGTGAAATTTCGGAATCGCAGCGCTAGAAGGAGAGGAATGCTACAAGTCAAGGGCCTTGACGGGTCAAGTAAAAGGATCCTTGAAAAGTCTACAAATAACTAACCGAGGTTTTTCTTTATAAACTCATAATATTGTGCTGTTTATATTCTTTGCACTGATCATCTGTTCACACCTATCATAAATGAATCCCAAAGCAGTCACCGGCTAGAGACGGCAGAGCCCTTGCAAGCTCGCCGTTTCACGAATCCCGTTCGCCTTGCTCAACGCCTTCAACATATCTAGCTTACACTATTCACCGTCCAGCTTGTCCTCGTGGCTACGACCCCCGGCCCCGCAGCCGTGTACCAAGTTCAGCAAGACGTCTAGGACCCCAGGCCGGATCGTTATGACTATGCAACCTGCATTGCCACATGGCATGAAAGGGCTCATGTCCCACCCGCGCGAACCACGAAACGATTCCCCTTGTCCTGTATTACACCCTTGGACATCGTAGTTGCGAATGGATATTTTAAACGGAAATGGAGTATATCATATTCTATTATAGTCAATTTGCTATGTCCATTAATGCTATTTCCTATCATCGTCGCCTCAAGTCCAACCCGAGTGAGTATGCTATTAGATGCTGCACCCCCCATACTATGACTGCCTCCCGTTCAGCAGATGCCAGCAATATCGTCATTCGTCATGAATAGCGTCCGTCTTCATCGCAACGCCTATGGAAGTCCCTGAGCCGGGTAGCTCTTGTCGGGAGAGACAACCTGGCCGTTCTCGACCTCCTTATCGCTGTAGGCGGGGTAGGCAATGATGCGGTGCTTGTTGTCGACAACGGCAAAGGTGGTGAAGCCGTTGCCCGGGCCGAACTGGCCGCTCCAGCCAGAGGTGATGGTGTAGTCGCCAAAGTTCTGGGCGCCGCCGTTGCTCTGGGCGGCGGGGGTGCTTCCGGCGTTCCTGACGACAAAGTCGACGGCCGTCTTGGAGTAGATCTTGGGGTTGATGGCGAACTTCCAGTGGCACTCGGTGTTGTCCTTGTTGCACCAGCGGTGGGCGCCCTCGATGGTCCACTCGGGGATGCCCTGGACCAGCATGGACTTTTCGGTCGGGGCGGGAGCCGCAGCCACGGAGGAGGCGGCGAAGAGGGCGGCCACGATGGTCTGGGTGAGTTGCATATTGGCGGTGGTGGAAAGTGTGCAAGTAGGTTGTGTAAGTGGATGGATGGGCTTGGATGGGATGAGACTCGAGTGAGTAGATGGATGCTGAGGAGTGAATTGCAAGAGGATAGCTGGAATTTGGGACAGACACAGGGCCGCCTTATATAATTTTCTCGTTTTGCGCAGTCTCCCGGACTCGTTGCGTTGTGTGCTCTTGTCGTCACGGCGGGCGAGACAGCAGCTCGGGCTGACATCACGAAGCTGCCGTCGGTCCAGCCTCCAGCTCGATACCCCATGTGGCAATAGGTCCAGCATGACAAGCATGCACGCCCGTAACACGACATGATCGGCAGACGGGTCGCTTGGCCCACCTCGTAAAACCACATCACTGCTGGAGGTTACTACCCCAGCCAACCACTCTTTGCCGCATGTCGGCCGTTTTGGCAGCGTCATATTGTCATATTGCCCTGGGCGAAACTTGTCTCCCTGCGATTGACTGCCAACGACGGGTTTCTAGTTCCGGAAAATTGTGCCAGAACAAGGTGAGGTTGGGACGAACGGCCCTTTGCCCCAAGCCCACGGCCCAAGACACGGGCTCACTCGAGGCAAGACACTCGCAGGCTTCCTCGCTCCTAGCCACTCACTCGTAGGCCAAAGAGCTTGGCAGTGGCTCAGAAAGCACGAAAGAACCTACTGCGCCGTGTCCAATCCATGGTTCGTGCAGCGTCAGTTGTGGTATGATTTGAATCAACTGCCACCCCATTACCTAACGTGTCAACGTGTCAGACTTGCCACTGGTCGACTGGTTCGATTCGATCCGGGCTCTCTGCATCTCGGCAACTCTGCATCTCGGCTCTACGGAGCACAGGGAACATCCGGCTGAAGCTGTCTGGGGCCTAGCTGCCGCAACCTCGTATTTGGCCATGAACAACTCCATGTCAGCAAGCCTTGCCTGAACGGGCACAGAACTTTTCCCACGTCACCGTGACAGTCGGTGAAGGAGACGGCGCCACCGACGCAGCTAAACCCGGCAGGGCTCGGGCGGCGTTGTATGTGTGTTGTTGCGCAGATATCTGCACTATCCAAGGCCGAGACCCTTTTCTTTGCCGCCGTTGCAATGGCCTCGAGAGAGTTTCCGGATGCCTTTCCACATGTCAACAGGGCTGTTCGTGTGCGACAAGCCCGAGAAAACTTGGCCCGTCAATGGATTCGAATAGGGCGGCTGAGGCTGCGGGTGGCTTCGTGCTCTCCAACAGCCTGGATGGGACAAAAAGAAACGCTGCCGCTACAGATGATCCACCAGGTTCGACAGCGTGGCAATGCCAAGAGGGCATGGCGATTATGGAATACGACCGGGCCCTGGCAATTACAGGTTAGGACAATCGGCTCTTTGCCGACGCTTCTCCGCCAAAATGACGATGGGTCGCAACTTTGCAAGCTAGACGTGATTACATATTTAGCCTTGGGTCGAGTCAAGTCGCAGAAATCGGCCCGGGATGCCGTTGCAGCAGCTATTTTGGTCACGGCCACAGACCGGGCGCAAAGTGGTTAAACCCGCAAGACCAGCAAGGCTGTCCTCTTTCCGCTTCATTGACGCCTGATTGCCGCGTCTGGTGGATGGAACTGCATGCCTCGCGCAGCAGCGATACGTCATGTCATGTCGCTCTGCCGCCGTCCAAGGTTGTGCCACGTTGGGAACGGACAACTCTCGTTTTGTGTTTCCAACCCTGGCACCGATCAAAGCCGCGGACTGGGGAGCCATTCCGGGGCGCCGACGCAAGAGTAGCACCGACGGAGCCTCTAAACCGCTTCGTTTTAGCAGCTTCGCGGTAGTACGGGCGCTCAACTGCGTATTTCAACGATACGACTGGGCGTGTGTCAACGATGTAACAGCACGCCGGGCCGCATGAGCCTTGTTCGTCTTGTTGCTGACGGCAGTGGTTGTGGTTACTCAACATCGGAAGACGTCCCTCTGTCGAGTTGAAAATCACCGCCGCGATTTCCCCGCACAAGGCATACATGCAGAGGATACATTTACGGTCCCCTCGATTCGCAGCCAGTCATCGACGTGAGCGTAGGGCGCGGTGTCTCGGCCGAATCTTGCGCTTTGAGTCAGCCAAGCCCGCCGCCATTGGTAATCGAGCGAGAGAACCGAGCGAGGATATCTGGATAGTCTGCAGAGTCCATCAGAATCCGTATCGTCTGCTCACATCTCTCACAGCGTACACTTGAGCCTTTCATAAACTATGTGTAAAACGCTAGGCTCTAGGTCATCCATCTCTCTTCTTCCATTTACCTGCCTCTAGCGCTGCAGCCTGCTAGTCATGCGCTACCGCTTCAACATTTACGGAGTACTTATGAGACAACCTTTGAGACATATTGAATCGAGCTTCAATGCGTGCAAGGTGTTCATTGCAGCGAGTGAAAACTCTTCTACAAGAATGCTCTTTCGTAAAAGACGCACATGCGCATTGCGGCTGCGACTTGCCAAAGAAGACGCTGTCATCCAGGCGGTCAAGCTGTCAATAGTCGTTGGTTCCGTGTTTCAGTGCTTTATGCTGCCACATGACGCAAAGTAAGCCTGATATGCGACCCTAGCATCACAAGGGTGCATAATTTAAAGACATCTACAGCTTGGCATCGAAAGTACGTACGTCTTGGAACTCTCCACCAAGAGGAGGTCAAGTGGCTGGAAGCTGAGATGGACAAAATAAACAATGTAAATATATTGTATCCGCGTCCTTGTAGGATAACTCCGCCCCCGAACTTGGCCATAAAAAAGTGCCCAGCGTCGCTTTCGAACCAGACACCTGTCATGCCATGTCATGCCATGTATATATAGTACTGTCTAGTTGGTCAGATGTGTTTGTACCAAACTATAATCCATGATGCGAGTCATCCAACCCAATCAGTCCGTTCTCCTGCATATGTTTCGCGACAGGATAAACGGCGCGGGCAAAATTGCTCCGGCCCTCGAGTACGTATCGCGGCGTGATATTATAATCGAAGCCCTTGATGATATATCCATGCCGGTCGGGCTGAAAAGCATGAAGGATATATGTACTGGACCAATCCCGAGCCCAAGGGGGGTTGCCACCCGGTCGACCTGAGCCCTCGTCGTGAAATTGTTGTCCTTCTACCTTTCCTCTCCCAGTTTCCGGGGGTGTATCGTCATGGACCTCGAACAGCATGCTGCAGTCTTCGGCTTCCCAGCCTACTGGAGCTAGGGCTGCTTTGTCGAGAATCAACATCTCCCCCGGTTCTGCAACAAGTTGCTCGCCAACCCGGGTGAGCACGAGGTTGCTATGAGTGATCCATCCCCCATCATATACCTGATGCATCTCTTCGTGCCAAAGGGAAATCATCTTGGCGCCTTTTTTCGACATAAAGGTCCCGCTGTTTAATTGACCGCTGATTTCTCTTCCCCCGACGGCGTTGAATCCGCTCTTTAGTATGGGTCGAATATCTCGGAGGGCATGGGCGTCAAAGTCGATGTATATGCCGCCAAAGTCTCGGATCGCCTTAACCCTAAGAAAATCTGACTTGTGCTCCATTACTGTGATCTCCACACTGTTGTTTGCGTGACTGGGCACTGGCACGACGTTTATCCTCAAGTTGGGCATGCCAAAGATGAGCTTGTCCCATTTACCAGATGCCCCGTCTCGTGCGCGAGTTATGGAGTCGTCGTGGGCATTGGTGTGAAGATAGATGGTCTGCGGTTGCCAGTAATGCCAGGCTGCATACACAGAAAGATAGTGCTTAAACTGAAAGGAAAAGTCGGCGTTGGCATCCTTCAGCACGTACACGAAGTGCACGTCATTAGGAATGCTTGGGTTGTTGCTGCCATGGCGGACGACTTGACTTGTCCAAGGAGATTGGTAGCCGTAAAATAGTATGATAATAGTCACCAGAACACCGAAAATGACCATCCAAGTCCGTCGGTCGGGAGAAGTACGCATCCTGTGCCTGCTGTCAATTATAGGTAGTTGATTTATAAAGTCGTTGAAAGCCAAGCCTCCTTCCGTAGTATGAAAACGCCGTGAAATATCCTACTGCGAGGAAAACATGAGCTCATTTTAATGAAATGCGAAGGGCTGCGGCTACTGTGTCTAGTATTTTCTTGGCACCTTCTTCGAAATACTTATAATCAATTCAAAATTTGGGATACAATGAGTGTTGCATGGATCATTACACGTGGCTTGTATGGGTTTGGAAGTCTTACTCGCGGAATCGTAGCCAAACGAGCTTACAATAAAACTGGCTGGTAATTTGAAACTGTAATCGTACGAGTTACAGTGTGACATTTAGTCTGTTCTACGGTATCCGTCTTGACTCAAGTTCGTTTTGCGTCATGAAACCTGACATCAAGGTGCACGCGCATGACAGTGTCATAGCATAACGAGTCATGAGCAGGAGGGCTTTTGAGCTCCTAATCTCGATGCTAGTAACTTCGCTTGCTGAGCCGGGATGGACGCGAGAGTGCAAGCCGAGCAATTATATTACCCTTGGGACCATCCGGGTTTCTTATTTATTTGGTAGTCGCGTCGACTAGGCCGTCCAAGGGCAGAAATCTGGCGTAAATAAATGCTGGGGTGTCGCAAAAGCAGGATTTTTTGATGAGCATGAAACTACATATTAATTCAGCCAAAGGCCGTGCACAGTTTACCCACTGAATTTATGCGCAGAGCATTGACAGCAAACCTACAATTATAGTTTCTTAAAAAGCTTAAATAATTAATAGTAAATTTAATCTTATGAGGTGTGTACAGGCTGGTAGAGTCGCCGGACCAGGGGCTAGTAAGTTAAAGACCCGTGTGGGAAACTCGGAAGTATTGTGATAAACCGCACGGCAGTCAAATTATAACGGTCATAGAACACATGGAGGCGCACGAAGCTCCTGCAATAATCTCACGAACGTCAAGATATACTTTGAGTGTATAATTGTTATTGGGCCGGTTGAATATTCAAAGATATCTATGAGGAATACAGAGCCTTACACCTACTTCTTCGCTGGATCTTGCGCTTCCCGTATACTGGTAGATGCTCTTTACGATGGCATAAACCTTGTATTAGAGGGACGCTGATAAAAGAGAGCATGCACAAGAAAATTATCAATAAATCTCTATATTTTATACAAGACATAACATAATAGGGTTTACTGAGAATAAGTCTAGGCCTTATCTTGAGTATAAGTCAAGAAGAGAGATTTGGAACTTGGACGTGATTCGCTTGATTTCTCCATCATGGCCACTCTCTGAGCTGTTAATACCCTCTGTCTTTTGTTGCCTAATTTTCAAACTAAAAGCCTGCTAATCCGCTCGCTTCTGACGCACCGCGATGCGTGCATTTAGAAATCTGGCGTAAATAAGTGCGACATTCCGTGGCTTGTGCGTCTGGTTTGTTGTTCCCACACTGTTGATTTTTTGATGAGCATGAAACTACATATTTATATT